GATCTCCCTCGTCAAGTATCGACCTCTCGATTCATCCGGGACGGTAGAACTTGAGACGCTCAGCGCTATTGATACCGAATACCCGCGTACCGATTGGATTACCGTAGTTCGACCGAACTTCACCGACAGGGCCTCGCGCTGACCAGGTCGCTCGCGTTAACCCTCGACTAGTAATTCGAGCTGAATTGTTGGCGAAGTTAAATCGGACCAGGTGGAGATTTAATCCACGTCGAAACGAGATGTGGTAAAACGAACGTGCGCGCTCACTTTTAGCGCTCTCAATGCGGTCACTTTTAGCCGCGACTTCCGTGTCGAGCAGATAAATTTCAGATCGGATTATCCCGGAATTGCTTACGCGTTAAATAAGTCGTAACTGAATTCTCGAATTTATTCCTTTAACATAAAGATCGCGTTCGGTATATCGCTGGAAGATGAGAATCAGACAGTCACGCTTTGGTATGCTGTTACGCGCTATTTAAATGGAAATCTAATGAGACCAGAGGCAAAGGACTCTGTATATATATTTAACACAAAATACAATTGTATAATTTTTATTTTCCTAAATTAGAGAGTGTCTCGACACGAAAGAGATTTTGAAATAAAATCCGGAAGAATCGCATGTTAACGCTAAACGCGCTAGAACGTCGACTGTCGTCTCTTCTGAGCGTCCCCGGCATGACGAAAGAGCGGAACGCCCGTGCGAGCTAACTTTCAAAGAGATGCTACTTGTTACCTCCTCTCGAGGTATTCTAGTGCCTATGTTATTGTGTCCTCTGTTCTGTCTACAGCGCTAAAACCGCCGCTAAAAAACGACGTTACCAAAACTGGGGGGTAGGGGGGCTGCTGAGGACGAGTGACGGGGGAAAATGATCCCCCGTCCCCTCATAGAACGCAACAATAAATAATAATAATCTCGCGACTCGTACACGCGTTCGAAAGGTAAGGAAACGTTCTCTATTTCTAACTTTCGTACGTGCATTCTCTTCTTTATTTCTCTCTTTTCTCTCGTCTCTTTTTTTCCTTTAATCCTCTCCCTTCTTTCTCTTTCTCTCTCTCTCTCTTTCTCACTCGCATTTTGGAGCTAAAGAGCTCGCTATCCTCGCGCACATGGTACGGAATAACAATAAAGTATTGTGATGGCAAACGAAAGACGACGATTTTACAAATAAAATACTTCGACGCATACGCTAAACGACTCATGCTTGATTCTGCAATTTGTGTACAAATTTAAAGGAAACATTACAAGATATTGATCATTCAATATTGAAGTAACGTTACCAATTTACATACTTGTTAAGTCAAATTTTGTATGAATAATTAAAAGAATTTATTTTTCAATTAATCTTAAACGAATTTTACGCCTCGGAGAGTTTAATTCCAGATAATCGATGTCGGACATTTTGCAAGTGCACGAATCAAATGTTAGATCAGAAATAGTTGACGAACGCGTCAACTTCTCGCATCCCCTGTTATCCTATTATCAACGTATCTGCGTACGTTCGGATCACGCATGATTCGTTTTGCACTTCGCTCATTCGCCCGCTACACTCGATATGCAACGATTAATCGTGTTGATCCTCGTAACGAAGATCCCGCGCTCGGGGCTTCCGAGTTTCCCCCAATTAAAAATATAAGAACAAGAATAACTTAGATTTCCGTTGTATGTACGTATCATACAAGCTATGCACAAAAGAAAAAAGATAAAACAACATCGTGAAACATTCAATTAACATGGACGCAATAAGATACAAAAGCGTGTAACTCGATCCGCCTCTCGTTTTCTCTTTCCCTCGCATTTCTTCCGATCCCTCTTGATCTTCGAATCGCCTGATACTTTCGCGTCATGCGAGCACTTTGATTGTATGCAGTGTTTCTTTTTGATCATGCGTGTCTCGTCATAAATAAGTACACACTGTACACCTTCATTCTTCCACCTTCGCTCTCGCGCTCCAGCCCCAGTCATGCTCTCGCAATTAATATTATTTTATTCGAGTATACACTTCCTGAGGAACGATGAGAGCTGCCTTAGTCTAATTTAAGAAATCGTGCTAATTAGCTAATCAGAAATTTCGCTTCTGGTTCAGAGAGCTTTTCTTCGCGTTCGAAGGGCCCCGAATGAGCTCAGCAATGCAATTTGCAAAGTTGCTTCGGTACGATTCATTAACTCATTAATTAATTAATACTGGTAAGCTGCTCGTAGTTCGTCGTAAGAAAGTCGAAGATCGGCGAAAGAAATAACTTTTCGTCGCTTCAAATTAAATCAGTACAGAATTATTTGATTATTACGCACTTTCTCAACTAATTTAGCTTGTTTGTCAAAATCTTTTGCAATTTGTTAAGACGGAAGAATGCAAGAAAATAATGTGCGATAATGAACTACTTTAATTATCCTTAGGCTGACGACGGTACGAAAATACGCTGCGCACAATTCATTCAAGATATAATAATAATAAAAGGACTGAAGGACATTTCAAGTTATAATTGTACATTATTGCTGGTGCTACATTGTATCATCTAGGATAATTTAAGATCGACAATCGAGAGCACAACTTTCGGGAGCGTCAGATTGGCGTAACATTAACGGCAGCGTTGCGCGATCAACAAATTCCTATCCGAATATAATGAAAACTCGCGTGTATCGATTTTTCTGTATAAAAACGCAGATAGCTGTTGCGCCGCGTGACTTTCGACTTGTGTGAGTTATCATTAAATGGCATACCGTTTCAACGCTGCATCACAAGGATTTTAAACGTGGAAACATTTTAACGTGGAAAATTCAAAATTGCCAATAACGTCCTCACTTTATATAAAATTTTTGAACAGCCAGGCTCTAAATATTCATTCTCCTAAATTAATGGCAATGAAAGTATTGGAGATTTCAAGCGTAAATGTGTTTTAACGAATCGAGTGACCTGGTGCAGTAATAATTGCAACAATAATCAACATCTTCGTCATCTGGTTGTTGTATTTTCAAATAATTTAACGATTAAATGATAAAGAAATAAAGTGAGAACCACGTTTGATAAACGAGGACTACGTTTACATTTTCAATGGTATTACCGTCATTTTGGGCTCTAAGGCTAAAGCTTTAATGTTTGCGGCAACCCTGAACCGGCCTCGTTGCCGTCGATCGCGCAAACCACCGTATAATCTCGCCGACTCGTACATATAAAATTATATTTACAACAGAGCGATTATTTCTTTGTGTGTTGAGGTATTCGCGTCTAGGCGCGTCTAAAAAGAGAGCGTGCACTATTTTGAGGAGCGAGAGTGAGGTTTGCGACGTCCAAGAAGGGTTTAGGAGCCTTCTTTCGGTATCTACTTAATTCTTGCAACCCATCCCTCTTGCTCCGAAAAGGAAAGATACAATGAATTTTCCTCCTTTTCCGATCTTCGTCGCCATGGTCGCGACGCGCGCGCCTGCCATACAAATAATTTAAAAATTATATTCGTATTTATAATCTCTTCTTTCGCGCCTCTTCCTCTATACATAGCTTCTTTTATATATAATATATATATATATTAAATTTCAATCTTTTTTTCTCGTTCTTATACGCGCACGGGAAAAGATTTCGGTAACGATATCGTTATGGTACAGCTATGCTACACACGGGGGGACCACCTCTCCTCCCGGTTCTCTATATACACTGCTCACCGATTACCGTTTACTTTCTTACATGCGGTATGTATATAAGAGATAGCGCTATTCATACGGGTACTAACGTGCGTCTGTACATCCTAACACGAACATTTTCCCTCTCACTCTCTCGCGTCTCGCTCTCGCTTTGGTCTATCTCGCAGTGTACCAAAAGCTTGAACTATTTTGCACCTCCGGTGATGTCACTTCGTTCCGACGTAAAAAGAGCATGTCGATATTTCTACATCACAATATTTGTCAATTTGTCTAGTGTGTACGTGACTAGCTTCATTCACTGTGATTTTTTCAAGGCGTTTCGTTCTTTGGACAAAGTTACAATACCAATCCGAAATTATTTTGCATTTATCGATTACGGGACGAAGTAACATCCTGAGGAACAAATCAATGTCGGTTTACCGTGATCCGCGAACCCGCGAATCATCCACGTGCGACTACCGATCAAGGATTGTTCATAAAGGCTTGACCCGATCGCCGATAATAATGTGTTTAATAATGGACGCGGGTAATTTGGGCCATTCGCGGAGTTGTTCGGCCGAGTCTTTGTCTGGCGTTCGCCAGAATGGGCAATTCAGAATGGGGCGGGGGTTGCGAGCGTGCCGCAATTGCAACTCATGAATTTCCTAGCACACGGCCTCCGTTACGTTATTAACAACATCGAGACTTTATTGGCGTGTTCACGGTGCCTCGCTTCTGGTTTCTGTTTCGGGAAAACGCGATTTGTGATCGAGAAAGCATTATTGCTGGATTGGGAAAGAGGGTTTTTTACGGTCAGAAGCTTTCGATTCCGGAATGAACGATATGAGGTGTACCCCGCGAATCGTGCTTCATCGGAAAGCTTTTTCAGAGCAAGAAAGGGTACAATTTCTCAGGAATAAAATTTCTCATGCTCTCTTCTTATCGAGCGAGCTTTATAGTTTTACGCTTCGGCGATGGGATTACAAAAATAAAAGGCTCGCGCGCGCGCCTAAAGATTTTCGGCCGTGAAAGCGCGAATATGTACGTGCATTTAGTGGCAGTATAGCGATGATATTAATGATACGTGTGGTATCTAAATCGTATTATGCACGTTGGAATCTAATTAAAACAATTCGATTGCGATTTATTTCGTGTATATTCTCGCATCGATTTATTCTACTGCATAGAACTAAACAATAGTAGAAAAGAAAATTTCTCGTTAAAAAAAGATTTAATCGATTTTATTTTACTTGGCCGGATAATTCTCTGTTTCGATAATCGTGAGGTGTTTTATTATGTTGGAATCGTGCGACATTTTTTGCAAATTTAAAAGACTAGGGAATGTATTTATTGTAATCCAAAATATGACTTTAGATATATGTATATTATATTATAGCCCATCACATGACAAGACATTATATAAATAAATTGTTTTTGTCTTCCTTAAATAAGAAATCTTTTTTAAGGATGGCAGAAAACAACATAATGCTTTTATCGAGTAATTTAATTGGTTGATCAGATTCCAACATACATACATTGTTCTTGCCTTCCTGCTGACGGATAATTTGAGGACTCGGCGTTAGTCTACCGTGCGTGTGTTTACTACTACATTTCAAGACTATCATCAGCATGCATGTGTCGCTTCGCATCCCATTGCGAGACTTCCTAAAGCGTCATTGGTATGGAAAGTGATTATTATCGGACTAGATAACCGCGTAGTAGTCTAACGTTCCCTATCGTGTAATGTGCGATCGGATCTTCTCCCTTCTCCGAGGGCGGGACAAAAATTATACGTTTCATCGTATCAAAGTTTGTACGAAATTTGCCGGTCGGCTGAACACGTCCGACCGTTTAGGATAGGACTGGCAGTGGATCGTTAATCTAGGGCGAAACACCCGTAATCGAGACCCGCTTATTTCGCAATTTGCACTGTTCATTTTAAACACACAACTTCGTTATTTAGCCTAGAAATACCACACCCTTGACATCTTAGACTTTGGATTAAGCGATTTTCGATGTTATTTTAAAAAGATCAAATTTCATCTTATTTTAGAATAAACAAATCTACGAGTTTTTGATCCGACGGGTTTTGATTTCGAATATTTCGCACGTTTGTCAGTTTACAAAACTGCTAATTGCTTGAAAGAGCGATGGGATTGATCGCTTAGGGTGATTTCGGTGCTTCTTCATAGCTCTTCGCGATTGGTAGTCGCACGATTTGCGGGCGACGACATCACGACGAGGACGAAGTTAGCTCGTTCCGCGGTTAATGCTCTCCCTCTACGTATATAAATTACAAAGGATTGGACTAAAAAGGTAAAAGTAATTGTTAACGCCCTTTGGTACCAGCCTGAGTCTCATTAAATTACAAATAAATTTGTTAGATAGTCTTGTGTGTCGATTATATGTATAAATCACTAAGAGATCACTGTGTTTTTCTCGTCAAGTCCGAATCGTCACTTACTCGCGGGTCTCCTCGTCGCTTCGACGATCGAGTCGTTCAATACGATTGTCGCGACTTGATTCGCCGAAGCGATAAGAATACCTTTATTGACTCTTAACTGTGGACGTCGAAGTATCAAAATACAGCAGTTTAGCACAGCCGAATCAGTATCAGCCATTCTTTCCGTTAAAGAACACGCTCGATGGTTGCCATCATTCCATCGTGACAACAACGTGACAGAAATAAGGTCTTTTGTCTTTTTGCTTTTCTCTCTTTTCTCAGAGGAGAGAGCACATCTCCAAGAGAACCCTCAGAGACGTCGCGATCGGTCCTCCATTAGGACACGATGTAGTCCGCGGAATGATGCGAGTGATGGGAGTTACGTTGCTTGTCCCTACGGTGATTTGTCCGGGAATTACTGCCGCGGGTGCCGCTGGTACCGGTGGTGCCGGTGGTGCCGGACGTGTGGTGGCTGTAACCGCTGTCGCTGCCGAAACTGCTATCGGGCTGGCCCTGATACAATCGGCCGGCATTGGTTACCTGATCGCACGCCGAGTCTCGGGTCGAGTTCGTGTAATACACTGGCTGGCTGTACTTGTCGTCGCCGAACAGCCGATCGGTCGGCTGCGAGTACGTGTCCGAGTACTCGCCGCCCACCTGGGTGTAGAGCGGCGTCGTGACATCAGACTGATTCTGCAGACCGTAGTAGTCCGCACCGTATGGCTGGTGCGACGATAGATACTTGTACTTGTCGTTGCCGGTCTTGCCGTTGCGCGAACGCTCCTTGCCGCTCCTGTTCTGGCTGGAGTAACGATGAAGAGGGCCCAGTACCGGCACACTCTCGTAGGGGTTCTCCTCGAGTCGCGGTGGCTGCGCGGCCGGCAAGGGCGGCACGAAGTACGGTAACCTGTGCGCCACCGACGGGACGGACTGCTGACGTTGAGTGCTGCCGGTGCCTGTTCGAGCACCGGCCACGCCTGAAACCAGAGACTTGAGTCAGTAGGAACTCGGAGACGCGCTTATATACGTAGAATGCTATAACGAAGTTGAAAAGTTAACGCGGAGTTAGGAAATCGAGGTAGGAAATCAAAATAGAAAATTGAGGTGGGAAGATCGAGATAGGGAAACGAGAATAACAGGAAAAGAGATTACTTCAATATAGAGAAGTGCGTTACATCCGGGAAGTTTCGATTCAAGTTTATCAAATTCGATTCGGTTTCATCAAGAAGTAGGTAAAAGAATGTATAAATAGATATATTGTGACAGGTCTTAACGAATCCATAGTCTAAAAATGTTATCGCTCGATCGCGTAGAAGTGATAGGCACTCTATAGGCAAACATTAAAGTAGCAAACAGTTCTTGGAAGGGCAGGTAGAAAAAACGGTACCGAAGAGCCTAAGAAATAAGGAAAAAGAGCATCGACGAGTCGAGAGGCCGATGTGTCGCCGGCCAATAACGCAAGAACGGTAAACAATTACGGAGCGGATAAGCAAACATCAGTTGTTAGTTCAGAGATGTTGATTTAGCGCGCTACAACTACGAAAAATCTTTCGAGCGGAATTACTTTCTTCGGAAAATGTCTTTCTTTCTCCAGTCTACCTTTCTCTATCATCCTTTATATACACAACTTGGCGTATCTTTTCGTCGCTGATGTGACTTACCTGCGACGCTAGGATAGAGTTGAAGCAGCGCGTCCAGCAGCATGCCCTCGTGGAATTCGCCCATGTCGTGGTTCTTGTCTCGTCTGCGTCGGTCGAGGCTCCTGGGGCTGCGGCCGCGTCGTTCGCGCGGTGGCCTGCCACCGGCCGGGCACGTACCCCAGGTGGGGCCGTTGCTTGAAGTGAGCATCCTCGCCTCCGATGGCTCGCCCACCGACAGCTCGTCCTCGGCGAACTCATCCTCGCTCGCCGGCTTGGACGCGCTGGACGTGCGGTGATGATGACGGTGATGATGATGATGATGATGCAGACGATTGCGGGCGTTTAACTCGCTCTCCTCGTCCGTCTCCGGATGGTCCCCTGCGGGATTGAAATTCGTTTAAGGGTTTAACTTAACGGTATGACGATGAACGCGCGAGGATAAGAGCGGGATTTCATTCTTAGCGGGACGGGGAGTTGATTAATCGTGAATAAAGTTTGTCTGATAATCAGAGAGGGTTAACTGGATGTCAGAAAACGAGAGTATTTCTTAACACGCGGTGGAAATTAATCAGATGGATAATTAGCTTCTGGGAAGATAAATTATTTGGAAAGATACATTTGAGAGAAGGTTGCGAAATATAAATTCGTATTTATGGTCGCATTTCTGTTGAGAAATTCAGGTGAAATCAGTTCAAGACATAAGTACGGATGAATCTTGATGTTATATTTATAACTGCGATTTAATAATCATTTCTTGAGGGAATTGCATTATATATATTAATAGAACTCTCATATATTTTGGTTAATAATATCAACTCAGAGTTAAACTACATTTCCTAACCTGTTATTGATTTTTCAGTTCAAATGATATTAATTTATACTCAATTTTCTTATATAGGTTTTATACGCTATAGTAATCAATTGATATTAACAGGTTGATTTCTATAATATTAATTTTAACTGTTATATGCAATTTTATGTTTAATAATTTTTTTAAGTAAAAATATTAACGATTAAAATTACTCCATACATAAAAAATTATTAGATTTTATTGTTATGAAAATTTGTCTTTGTTTTGATAATAAATATAATTTTAAAGTTTTAATTCTGTAAGAAGCGTGATTATCCAAAGGATGCCTCATAAAGTATCAGCGGGAAACAATCGCAATTCCATTCCACATTATATATCAGTCTATGAAGAACGCAATAGACTCTTTGATTAAGGAGCGAAAGATTCGATTTGTCTTACGGGTTGGGCAGTTAAGCCCAGGACAAAATCGGTTTAAGATGAGAAACGTATTGTAACAATTAAAGATTTTGCCGCTGGATGTAATTAAAGTAACCCACGATCTATTTAGCCGATACTTGGGCTTCGCACTGAAATTTCGCTTCGTCGGTTTGGCAACGCGAGACTCACTTCACTCCTCCATTAATTGCCTCGCGTTATTCCGCCGAAATGTCGCGGTTGAGTCGCGATCAATACTAACGACACAAAGGGGGCGTGTATACCTAAACTCACGTTAAAAAAAAGAGCTATCATATAAATAATCGCGGCGTAAAACGGATATTTTGAAGCGGAATGCGGTGCGGAAACCGCGCGCAGCGATCGAAATCGGTCGTCGCGAGAAATTGAACGGGCTCGTCCAATTAATTTTTATCTCGCGGTAGAAGTGGAAGAAACGCGATCGAAAATGAGGCGGGATATAGAGAAGAGACGTATACCGCGCCCGAATTATTCTCAAACAGATTGGAGGTATTATCGGACTGACTCCACTCTCAGCATTAAGTTCGCACTTCGCTGGCCATTAAACCACTCGAGATATCCTCTGTCGTCTCGGACGAGTGTCCTCTCGAAATGCTTCCAGCGAGGACAGGAGGATGACCTGTTAACCGTTCGACGTCGATCTCGTCGATCGAGACGTATCCCGGATTTCCCATTTCTGTCGTATCGGATTTCTCGCGAAAATAGCATATTGTTAGCTAGTAACAACGGCTTGACTTATTCTGATCAAATAAATTTAACCTTACATAATAATTTATGTAGTTTTAAAATATGGATCAATTTTACCTAAACAATATTTTATTCTACTGAAATAATTTTTGAGCGTCGGGAAATAAGTCAGATTTGGAAGATGTAAAAGAATCTATATCTAGAAATTATATAAAAATTATACGGAAGGTATACATTTTGAAAATTATTAAAAGTATTTCTCGCAACTGTGTGTTAGTGTATGTGTGTGTGTGGGGGGGGGGATTATCCTGTCAAGAACAAGCAACTTCATTTTGACAGGGTTCAATTTGATCAGTTCCATGAATTTTGCAACGCGCGAGTTATCCTCCTTGTCGACGTGATCGTCGAGTAGGTCCGTTGAATTCTCTGGCGTTTTTACAAGCCCGCAAGGGACAGGACCACCCTCTTCGAGAGATCGATGTTCTCTCTCGTCTCGAAACTGGAGAACGATGCGTACATAGTGTATATACGCGCGGGCCGAGCCCGTGGTTACGACTAATGTACGCGGTGCAGCATGTATATTCGATTACCAGGTCCTCGTCAAACGTCGAAAGCCTCATCACCATACTAATTAGCCGTCCAACTAATGGGAAGTATAAGTCAGAGGTCGTGTCACGCTTATCTCCCTTCGGTAAAATACACGACAGCGCAGAAGAGTGGGGATCACTGCGGAGAAAGGGGGAGAGAAAAGGGGGGGAGAGAAGAAAGGGAAGGAAAACAATTTCAAAGAAATTATGAGAGAAAAACAAACAAGAAGATGCAACGTAAAACTGCGTTTATCAGATTCTCGTTTGTTGAAATGAATTCAGACTTTGCAGATTGTATCTTTATAATAGATATATTAATAACGTAATTGTATGTTTTGTAAAATTATCGATCTTTATTTGAATTCTTAAATTCGTTGATTCTTAAATGCATATATATTTTTAAATGTTTCGATATTTGCTTCCATAAAAAAATTCTTACTGCACACTGAATGATGAATCTGAAGGTTTAAAAATTATTAAGTGGCCATAGATTTGATCTTGCAGAGCCCGGATCTCGTACGCGAGGTTTACTTCTATTTAGATTACAAAGATCTAAAGATCTTCATCAAATTTTCCGATAATTTAAAAATTTATGGAATTATTCATGTGCTTTTATTTCTATCCTATTTCTCATTTTTCTCTACAAATTTATCGTTTTGCAATCTTATCAATTTCCATTCACATAAACCTATCTTTCTTTCTCGCACATTTTCAATCTCGCGAACTCATTGAACTGAACGCAGACCGGAACTTCTGCGACACGCAGATTCTCACTTCCAAAACTCTTCGTCCTTAAAAAGTTCCATCGACTCTTTTTGCCCAATAAATCTCCTACGCCACAGACTTGCCCGTAAATCGCGACGCACGCGAATCTGCCGGATTATTCTGATAAATGCAGTCCCGCAGTTACCAGGAACAAACCAGAAAAGGGAAATACGTAAGAGGGGTAACGAGAGGAACGAGGAAGTTTCGCAAAGCGCGCGTTAGTCGATGGGATTTAACGCTAGTTCAACGCAGCCGCATGTTAATCGTGTATTAAGCCAACCGACAGACGGACACACCGTTTCGAAAACTCGTATACTCGTGCCGTACCTACGCGTTTCCCGCGGGCATGTTCGACTCCGAGGATACTCCCCAGCGTCTTCAGAGGCGAGTTTCATCTAGAAGGAGAGTGCGTGATTTGCGTCTGTATGGGAACGTTAGGGTTTCAGCGCGTCGTTGACAAGGCAACAAGATAGCTTGACGATCCCGCGAAACACTCGTTTATCGTTTGGTAGATTATGAAATTCGCACAAAAATGTGCTTAGTTAAGATAATTTATTAATAATATTATTTGTGTAATAGTATTATAAGTGTTTTTTTTTTTAACCAGCTTCGAATTAATTATCTTAAAGGTTTTTATAGAAGTCCTAAAAGATAGCATCTTATTATTTCTCAACCGATGAATAGAACATTTTATAGAAATAAAATATAAAACAAGCTTTCGATAAATTCGATTGCGAAATGCACTCTCGTGCGTCGAGTTTACCTTTTCAAAATCAAAATCGTCTAATGAAAATTTTATCTCTTTCTTCTTCACTGTCGCATTGTTGCTCTCGCGATTTTCCGGCGTGATTTTTTTCCGTGAAAAACCGCGACGCATAAAAGGAGATGTCCGCGGACAAAGCCGTCCAAAGTAAACATCGATTATCGGCACTTACCGTTGCTGAGCTCCTCGTAGACAGGATTATAAAGGTCCTGCGATGTGTAAGGATCAGGACCGGGACTGCTGCAGACGAATACTCCTCTTCCGCCGTCCTTGACGTCCAGCATCTGCCGTGATAACAAAAATATAAGTTAGAGAAAAAGGGAACGAACGAGACGCGACGCGGAAGAAAAAATTGTAATATTTTTAACTGTCGCATAATAGAATTGCTATTGAATGATATCTCGTGACTATTACTTACATTTTTCACATAATATATGTAAAGTACAATGGGTGACGCGAATATTAGAAATCGATAAAACTTTAATTGAGAGTAATTGAAGAAATTGATCGGAGAGTTACACTGTGATTAATTTCATGTTCAATACAATCTCAATTTTATCGCGATATAATAAATTGCACGCCGTTTGAGAATTAAGACCGCCGCCATTTTCTTCCTCGTTCCGCGGGGTTGAAGGGTAATTAGTCCCGAGTTGTGACTAAAAATAGGTCAGCTCGTTACAAATGACTCGAGGTTCGCGCTTCCATGGTTGTTTTACGAGGCTGTTTAGGAACGGCGACTTGTTTACGACAACGTTGGAAAACAATTAGCGAATAAAGGAAAGGGATGCGGAAGATGGGGTACAATGGGGGCAGGTGGAAGGAAAATAGCGAGAAGAAACTAGGGGGATGATTGGCACGGGTACCAGACGAGAATCTTAACACTCTTTCAGAACCTCCGTGTTTTCCGGCCGACGATTAACTCGTTCCCACCCATCCCCCCCTCTCAAACTCTCACCCTTCGTCTCCCGAGCTGGGATTCCAGCTCTGGAAACGCTGACTCGGTCACTGCAGGAAAAGCGAGGGTGTCGAAAGTTAATCCCTAAATTGGCAGGAAGCTTATACATCACGGCAGGATAATAAGGAACAATCTCTCGTCGCGCGAAAGAGAAAGAGATAGAGACATTTATCTCGGTAGCTAATCTCATTTCCACTGGCAATTTTGTTGACAGGTTGAATAATTAACCCTGCGCGGCAAAGTTTGATGAAATTTTGAGTCTGCCGCGATAAAAATGTCTATAACTCTTGCTAGTTTGCGTTCTCGCGATGATACGTTAGATATTTCGTTATCTCTATTCCTCCTCGCTGCAGGACACGAGGGTTAATCGAAACACACCCGATAGACAGCTGGGAGAAGCGTGTGTAACAGATACACGACATAATCGCGGACTCGATTTAATCCCTTTGCCTCGTCCTTGTAATGGCTCGTGTGTCGTCGTAAGCCTGCCGCAAGCGGTTTCCGGTCTCCGTGGCGACGGTATCCGTGTCCTGTTGGTTTCCGAGCTGAAAATCCGCCACCAGCTGCTCTCCGGTTCGGCCGAGGTGTCACGTTAACGGGCGCAAATGATACGCTACGATCCCCAATCTATCTCGCTATCACTCCCACTCATCCTGGTGCCCATAATGTCTTGTGATCCCATCGGATACCATACCCATATGTACAGCGATTGAGACCGGTCTAATTTCGAAGAGCTCAATTTTCCGTACGATATGTACCAAGTACACCTTTCGATGCAAAATCGGATATTATTTTTACTTGACTGATATATTCTATTTTAAGTTTTATTCTCTTTAAGATACGCTATATTTAAAATTGAGAAAGTAACATTTACAAAGGTAAAATTGAGATCAAGAATTTATTAATAAATCGAAACGATTAAAAAAGATTTTTGCAAGTATTCCACGTGTGACTTATATTCGTTTCACATATTCATTTCTCGTCTCCTTGACACGTCCGAGTTAAATTTTTCCCCGGTAATCTTGATATCTTTATCTACCGGAAACTACCCACGTTAGCTTCCCGCGAGATCTCCTCGCAAATGTTAATTTATAACGTTTACCTTTTTGCCTCGGATGAATCGTAATGTAGTCTCGCGCAGAATGGGACGATCGCGCAACGCGTGACGTAAATTCGACCTCGAACATGGATTGAAATATCACTGATAACGCGTGGGAGTATCGGGTCCACGCGAGGGTGGCGCGCGCAGTCTACGTTTCTATCTAAAATTATATCTCCCGAATTGTACGAGTCGCGTTTCCTGCTGCCTGCTCCTCGGGCGGATGGACAAATGGATTCGATCGGACCGGATATGTTTGGTACATACACATGTCTATTTTCTGTATTTCTCGAGATATGTCGCGGGCCGCGACGACGATATGACAAACGCGTGAAAGGTCCTTCCGATCCTTCTATGTTAAAAGCATTGGTAGGGTAGCGTGGGCCGAAAGGTCGAACGTCGTCGTTATTTTACAAAACATCGAAAAAATAATGGATAAATGCATTCTGTCGAGTTGCGTCCAGTCTACGAGGCCAATCGATTGCACAGTGTCATTGTGTACAGAAATATCGCGGAACACGGTTTTATGTAGATACACCGCGCGGTATATCTCCGAATAAAATACTATTTTACGCGCGTTATCGGTTAGCATATTATGTTGCAACAATCATGGAATGCGAAAACATTGAAATATCTTCAATTTACCAATATATTGCACCAGATTCGTAATTTTTATGTGTACATGTGTGTGTGTGTGTGTGTGTGTGTATTGTATTGTCTACATATTACATATCCTATTACAAAAAACTGGTCACATCGAGATTAAAATTAAAGGTTCTCGTGTATAATTCAAATAAACTCTAAATCTAAATATACATTTACAATATTTTTCTAAGAAGACGTAATAAGACGTAATTTTATCTAATCTTGCAGAAAAATTTAAACTACTCTAGTTTATATAATTTCTGATATTTTTTCTGTTCCGGACACGTTGCAGAATCGCTTGCGCGATTTTTTGAGTAAGTACGGCAAGTATCGGCAATCTGGTCTTTTATTTGTGGTTGCAATCGAGTGCTCGTAAGACGCGGACGCCCTCGCGAGTGCACAAATTGCTGGAATCGAGTTAGCTGCTCGGTGACCCGCGCGGAGACGATTAGGCCAAAGGAAACCGACTGATTTCTTGCATCTCCCCATTGAATTCCTCGAGGCGGTGCTATCGTCCACCAAAAGAAAAGGATTCTCGTTTCTACTGACAAGTGCCGCCGGCCTTAAAAGAGCACAGGGTTCGTTATCGTGTTTAGTCTGCGGAAACCGTCAACCGGGCATCTACGATTTTTCGAGCGCTTAGCCTACTTAATCTTTCCGCTCCTTAATCCGTACATTTAGTACTGATTGTGAATTTAAAGTTATCCAATTGTTGTGTTTTATTGATTGTGAATTTTTCGGTATTTATCTACCTCTGAAAATAAATATTGTAATATACCTACTATATTGGAATTATACAAGTGATATATACTATAATTTTGTTACATATTCTCTCTCTTTTCTTTCCAAAAGTTTGAACATAGTATTTAAATAATTTATCAAAGAAAAACCGAAAAGAGTATGTCCTATTATTGAACTACTTTTCTTGAAATGTATAAGCAACTTTTTTTTTAATATTGTCTTTACTTGTGAATATGTTTAATGTTATCCAATATCCACTTTCTAATGACCATAAAACACGGTTTAGCGTTGGTTAAATTGCTGCAGCGTTTTTCACATATAGACCTAAGATACAATTTTCACAATTTTTATCTTGTTCCGGTGACAAGATAATTTTTACTTGAACGTCGTCCTCTCACGAGAAATAGAGTCGGGTCGTTCGAAAGTCGAGTTACGAGTTGGCCAAGTCGCATGTCCAACCTTCGACCTCGTGGAATTGAGTTAGGCACCATTAGCGCGAACTCGAGGCAGAACGAAGGCCAAACCAGGTTTCCTGAATCAAACTTCCGCTCATAGCTCATCTAAACGGTGCAAAATAGCAAGAAGACTTCTTCTCTAGGCGACTAATGAAATTTACTTCATGTTAACAGACAGAACAAATAAATGAGGTCAAAATTGTCGTGAGACGTGTCATGTTCAATCATATTAAGTCAATGCGCAAAATGTTTTCACTATATGTTTTTCGCGATCTTTTTAGACCGCTGGTTACACCTCTACTTCAATTTTAATATTAAATTTCTTATTTCCTGCAATTTCATTTTGGAATACTCGGTGGGGGATAAAATAATCTCGCATTTACGAGGAACAGAAGGCAGGTCTCGGCTCAGCCCTCGTAAAGGCACTGCCGCATTTTTAGGCGAGTTATGAGAGTTGGCAAAGTTCCACACGTTCGGAGAATTTTCAATCTTCCGGCTGAGAAGTTCGATATTCGGCCGGTTTCACTCGCGCGCGCGGATCTGATTATCCTAATGATTTTATGGTACCCGACACGAGTTTTACTTGGCCGAAGAAGCGGAACGTGTAAAAACGCGACCGACTTCTCCTCTTTCTTCTTCTCGGTCTTTCTCGTTTTCTTCTTCCGCCGGTATTAAAATTCTATGTCTGTTATACGTCCCCCATAATGGCCGGACTGGCGCTCGCGGGGGCCTTTGAAAAGTTGATCGCTTTAATGATCTCGTGGCCCCTGCAGGCGGCCGGCACCTCCGCTAAACTTAGATCTCTCGGACGTCGGTGACAGTGCAGCATACTTAAAGCGCTTTAGCCGACATAAAAGGGGGACGAGGGGTCGCTTCGTCTTTCCACCTAACTGCGAAAGTTCGCGACATAAATAATCAGAAACTTTCTTGAATTAATTTCAATCGATCGAAAAATTCGGGACTCCACCGATGGAGTTTCGTCGCGAAGGCGTTCCGCGAGGAAAACGAGTTTTCGGGTGTTTGGAATTAATGACGCATTAAAACGGCAAACGATCGAATACGAGATAAAAATATATATATCGGTATCAATGAAAAAAAAAAAAAAACATCTGTTTTTTAATTCGTGATATTTTTTAAATTATTTCTTTTCGTTAAATTGTAACGAATAGATAACGTTTCCCTCGAATATTCGAATGGATAAACTCATCCGCTTCCCATATCTAATGCTTCTTGACACATCATTTCGAATATACGGTGTCTATAAACTTAAGCAGAGCAACTGATTCTGGCGTCCTACATACTGCGGACAATATCCAACTTGACGTGTGTGCGACCAACGCGTATATGTACATTTTATATAAATATTATACATGCGCCGTATGTCGTGACTGTATCTCGTTACCGTAACCCACTAATTGTTAGTTACTGCGGCAATTGCATTAGGTTCTAAGTCCGGGGTGGCCGGCCCCTGCCTCCGTCGTTATGTCGCTATTGCTTTGCAGATACAACGTCCCGAACTAACGACGCGGCACCGACGCGCGTAATCGAGTCGACAACAGGTGGATGTTAGATCGATAGACTTCCGCCGGCGGATTGATCGTCTAGCGGCTTATCCGGTGTGGCACGGCGAGATTTATGACGGGATCGATAACGGTAAAAAGAACCCGCGGACGAAATAATTACAGTCTAGTCGTCGTCGAATGAACACGCGCGAAATACTCCTCCCACGTCACGATTCTAACTCCGCGATACACTTTCGTAGTCAAAACGATCCCTACACGGACTGTAATTTTCTTATCACGCATGTAATTTTGGTAACGTATAGCTTCGCATTGTATTCAAACTGTGCGAGGAACACGAAAATTCTCTTATCGTTATTGAGATTCTTGATAAATTTTCTAATTTAGTGAAGATTGAATATTGTATCGAGTAAATGAAAATTATATATAAAGAATCAACGTTTGCGATCACGAAAAAGAAAAAATGTACTTTGACAGTTAAATTCGATTAAGTTCGATAATCGAATTTACTAAGTTGATTAACTAA